GAACAAGTCAATCAGTTCCCACATGGGCTGTGTGGAACTCACCCAGTTTCATTAGTTAATACATTTAGATGCCACAAACCTCAGCAACCAGCTGCCACACCTCAATGCTTGAATTTGCACCTGGAAAGTTCATGCAGAAACTTGCATGGGACTGCACTTCACTTCCCACACAGAGAAAAGCACCAAAGCCAGACTTGCCCGCAGGATACAAATGGAATGAAATTAACACCTCCGCGCTGCAGGGAGGAACCAATTCCGGTTTTGCAAGAACGCAACTAAGAACATATTGAGAAAATGACTCGGCTCAATTTATTTTAAGCTCTGCAAGTGGAGGGGAGGTTGGGGGGAAAAAGCACACAGGTAAAACTTTATCAATAACACTGTTTTCAGTTTGATCTTGTCTGAGTTCGCGCTTTAATGCAATGCTTTGGGGGTGGGGGGGAATACATTAAACTGAGATGCCATTTGCCTGACCACACATTGACATTAAAGATCTAGAAAAGAGAGCGTTTCCGGGGCCCGGGGACAATTAATTGGTCATTTTCCCTCATGGTTGTTTATGGAACTTTGCTGTGTGCAAAATGGCTGGTGTTTTGGTTTTAGAAACAGTCACTACACTGAATTAATGTAGAGCATTACGAAACGTTGCTGACACGAGGAAGAGTACTCAAACCAGACAGAGTACCATGTATGTCATCTACATTTGGGAATTCCCATGTCTGGAATGGAATACTTAATTTTCTCCCCAGAAGGACGCTCCCTGCTTATCTCATCCTGGAGAGTTTGGGGCACCAGTTGGGGGCAATCCCTGCCCCCAGTGACTAGTCTGCCCCTCCAAAACTGCCAATGAGCTAGGCTGGCAGTGCTGCCATCAGCAGTGCCCTACAGTACTGCAGACTCTCCTGGCTCAGGAACCGGACTACTGAGACTACCGGAAAGGCTTGATTCCTTTGAAACGTTGTTGTAAGAGCTTCTACAAAAGTTCTGCCTCATTTCTATACCTGAACAAAAAAAACATGAATATCAATTTAACATTTCAATCAGCATATTATAATACAGCTTCCGGGATTTTGCTCATATGTAACAAATTCCAAATCATGTTTGCATTCTAGATCCTAACTGACATCTACCACATTCTAATAATAATAATCCTTGCAGTTGATATAGGGCTCAAAGCGCTTCACAGAATATACTGTAAAGTGAATTGACTGTATTTTGTATGCAAAATGCGGCAGCCAATTACATTCAGCGGTGTCTCACAAACAATCATGGATTGAGTGACCACGTTTTTTTAAGAGGGATTATTATCCCAGAATGCGATCCAATCAACAATTAACCAGGTTCCTACTGTTGCCACGTAAACAGAGGCATGTGGAGTAAGGAAACTTGTGTAAGGTTTTGCCCCACCCAGGAATCAAACATGGGTCCTCTCTCTTGCAAGACCTGTGCATTAACCACTACGCTACAGGACTCCATGACATTCCAACTATGTGTTGGAAAAATTTTCCAATCATGTTTAAGGTTCAGTAAGACTTGAGTAGAGAGCCCAGCAATGTGAGGAGGGAACTGAGTGAAAATTTTGTTAAGGAATTTGGTGAGTGGGAATTCTTCAGCAAGAGAGAAACCAGAGAGTAAGAGAGAACTCTTTCATTCAGCAGAAGAGTAGGAAATCTTTCTTGAGGTAGAGGCAACTTTTTTGTAAACAGGCAAACAAGTCAATTAGCAGTTAATCATAGGTTGGGTGTTAGGGATTAATAAATTTGCTGACCAGTCGAAATTGGGTGCTTTTGTTTAAGAGTCCTATATAAAGGACCTGTACAAGATGGATGGGTTACACCTGAACAGGGTTGGGACCAATGCCCTCGCAGGGAGGTTAACTCATGCTGTGGGGGAAGGGTTTAAACTAATTTCGAGAGGGGAAGAGAATCAAGATGTAGCATCAGAGAGGAGAAACAAGTTACATAGAGGGCTGGGATAGACGAATAGCAATGTAATAAGGAGTAGTCCAGAAAAAGGAGGAATTAAATAACAACAACTTGGATTTATATAGTGCCCTCCATGCTGGTTGGCGTCTCAGAGCGCTTCACAGTAACGGATCCCGGGACCGAGCCAGGGAGAGGAAGCTGACCAAAGGCGCGGTCGAAAAGGTCTTCAGCAGAGACCTGAAAATAGGAAGGGAGTGAGCGAGACGAAGAGAGTGAGGAAGGCAGTTCCAGAGCCTCGGGGCATAGTGGCTGATGGCACGGCCGCTGAGGGTGAAGAGGAGGACTCGGGGGACGAGGAGGTGGCCAAACCCAGAGGAACGGAGGCAACGGGTACTGTTTTGAGGAGAGAGGAGGTCAGAGAGGTCGGGGGGTGCAGAGGAGTGCAGGGACTTGAATACAAGGGTGAGGATCTTGAAATCGATCCTCTCTGGGATAGGCAGCCAGTGCAGTCTGGCCAGGATTGGGGAGCGGAGTTTCGTGCGGGTGAGAATGCGGGCAGCAGAGTTTTAAATGATTTGGATTTTATGGATGGTAGTGGATGGGAGACTGGCGAGGAGGGCATTAGAGTAGTCCAGCCGGGAGGTGACAAAGGCGTGGACCAGGGTTTCAGCGGCTTTTGGGGAGAGGTATTGGTGGAAACGGGCGATGCGTCGGAGGTGGAAGAAAGCGGTGCTGGTGAGGGACCAGATGTGGGGGAGGAAGGATAATTGGGGGCCGAACCTGACGCCTAGGTTGCATACGGGTTCAGAGAGTTTTAGGGGGAGGTCGGGTAGGTGGAGGAGGTGAGAGCCGTGAGAAGATGGGGAAGAAATGCAGAGTAGACTCAGTCAGTCTTGGAGTGTAGGTGCGTAAATGCACGGAGTGTGACAAATACGATTGGTGAACTGCAGGCTCAAGTTGCCACACGGGGTTATGATGTAGTGGCAATAACGGAGACCTGGCTCAATCAAGGGCAGGAATGGGATCTGAATATTCCTAGCTACATTGTATTCAGGAGGGAATAGGAAAGGGGGGAAAAAAAGAAGGGGGGGATGTCTTGCCAAGACACGATTATGGCCCTGGAAAGGGATGATGTGCTAGAGGATCCAAAAACAGAATCTATTTGGTTAGAGTTAAGCAGCAGAAAAGGAGCTGTTACTCTGTTTGGTATATACTGTAGACCATCAAATAAGGGGAAGGAGATGAGCAAACTGCAAGCAGATTTCAGAAAGATGCAAAACCAACAGAGTAGTGATAATGGGGGACTTCAATTATTCTAAAATAGTCTAATAGCAAAATAACAGTGTAAACGGCAAGGAGGGGGATGGATTCCCAAAATGTGTGCAGAATAACTTTCTGGATCAGTATGTTTCCAGCCCAACGAGGAAGGAAGCAGTGCTGGATCTAGTTCTAGGAAATGAAGTGGGGCAAGTGGAGCAGGTTTCAGTAGGAAAACATCTGGACAACAGTGATCATAACATCATTAAGTTTAGAGTACTTTTGGAAAGGGACAAGGAACAATCAAAGGTGAAGATACTCAACTGGAAGAGGGCTAATTTCAGTGAGTTTAAAAAGGGACCGAGCCAAAGTGGGCTGGAAAGAAAGATTGGCAGACAAAACAGCTAACGAGCAAATGGGAAGCCTTCAAGGAGGAGATAGTTCAGGGACAGAATAAATACATTCCCACAAAGGGGAAAGGTAGGGTATCCAAACCTCCCTGGATGAATAAGGAAATTGAGATTAAAATGAAACAGAAAAAGGAGACTTGTGATAAATGTCAGGTTCAAAACACAGAAGATAATCAAATAAGAGTATAGAAGGTATACAACTAAAAAAGGAAATAAAAGGGGCAAAGAGATTGTATGAAGAAAGTTTAGCAGGTCACATAAAAGGGAACCCTAAGGTATTTTATAAGCATATACAGAATGGTAGGACAAGATGGGCATTGGTCTTTTTTTCATCCAATAATTCCTATACGTTCCTATTTGCGCATAGCATATCCCACAAACAACCATGAAATGAATGACTGACTTTAACTGGGGAATTGTTGGCCAAGATATCGGGAGAAACTCCCTTCTCTTTTCGAATAGTACCACTGAATCTTTAATGTCCACCTGGACAGGCAGACGGGACTTTGGTTTAACCCAATGAATGACCTGTCCAACAATGCAGCACACCCTCACTGCACTTCAGTATCAGCACTGAATATTTGAGCTCAAAGTCCCAACATGGGACTCGAACTAACAACCTTCTGACTCAAAAGATGAAAGTGCTACCAACTGAGCTAGGCTGACACCTAGATCCTGCTAACTGGCATTCTGGGTAGATTCAGGTCTAACCATTGTAATAACATTTGCATTTGATATGGTGCCTTTCAGGTTAGGAGTACTTCACAGGATTTACTGTGTAGTGACTGTGTATTTTATGAGTTGTGAGTAAGGAAAGGGAATATGATTGCCTACTTTCTTAAAACCGAACACGAGTATTATATGTTTGGGTTATGGTTAGGGTTAGAGGTATGCCCAGAATATGGAGGAGGCGGTGAATTATAGTTCTAGTGTTTGATTTCTTCCCCATAGGCTGCGGGCTACAGGAAATACCCAGATTTTTGGTGTTCAGTCAATGTTTCTGGCGTCCTTCTGAAAAGTTATTACATCGTTCACTTTGATCCAGAGATGGAGAAAGAGAGAGGGAAAGCAGAGAGAGAAAACAGTGAGTTAGCGAGAATGCAAGTGCTGGGCACTGATCTTCTGAGTTGATAGGCGGATCGCTTTCCGGGGGTAATAATCCCTCAAAAAAAATCACAATTTTAATCAATTCACTCCTGTTTGTGCCCAATTGACTGCCATAGTTCGCCCACAAAATATACAGTCAATCCACTTTACAATATATTCCGTGAAGCGCTTTGAGGTGTCTCAACAACATGATAAGGTGTTATATTAAATGCAAGGATTATCATATATTATATATGAAATTATTATATCTTTACTGAGCAGTCCTGCGCTACATGTGTGAAGATTTTGGGGAGTTACTTACGTTAGAGAAGCAATATTCTAAATCCTGGTAAAATTCCAGCCCCCTCAGACTGTGCCCCTGCGAGGAACCACAGCAGTCCGCCATTCCATCTCTGATGATCTCATTGATGGTCTTGATGGGAAAAGTGCAGAGCGCGGACCTCCTGTGCGCAGTTACAGAGTCGGCTTCCGTTTCGGCAAAAACTCCAAACAGAACATCGTCTGATTCCTCAACCCCAAGCTCCTTGGCAAGATGTGCCCCAGGTTTGGCCAAATAGGCAGCTTGCAAAACATTGTAGACGGTATTCCCATTCACAGAGTTCCTTCTCCTCCTCTTCCTCTTCACATATCGACATTCCAGGACAAGCTCCTGGTACAGCTTGACCTCAAACTCCCCAGCCTTCAACCGAACGATTCTGGTGTGGTAGCCTCTGCTATTCACGTCCTCCTTTTGGACGGTTAGGAAGTAGACATGAATCCCAGATTTGAAGGAATAAATGTAATCGATAGGGTAAGAGTCCAAGAACTGCTTCCGCACAGTGATAGAAGAGTATTCAACTGAAGGGAAGCTAAAGCCATCCTCTGAGCCTTTCAATCGCTTAATCGATATGGACTTTGGGCTGTAAGTACTTGCAATGGTGCTGTTGACGGTGGCACCAATGTAGAAATACGAGGTATATCCCTCTGTATAAATGTACACTTGGGTGCCCAGTGGGCTAGCCACACAGTCAGGACAGAGCTCAGGGCTATTGTTCTTATCTGTGAATAGGCAATTGATGTCACTTATGTTATGCTCTGGGTATATAAGGTGCAGGTAACAGAGGCCATGTTGAGCGCTCCCACAGATAAATAAATACTGTGCAAATTTATCAATGACCAGAACTTTGTTGTCATTATCTTCCACACTAGCTGTTGGTGTCCAGCCAAGGACACAGTTGTTGCACCCCATACAGTCTGGGCTGCCCACCGGTCCCGTGCGCAGTTCAGACAACTTCCCAAGGGCTTTATTGAGTGCATAGATACGATTCCGCACCCCAAGGAAGATGGTTTCTGGTTGAGCTTCATGCACTACTATATTCTGTATTGGCCCTTCAGCATCAAAACTGCTCAAGTTATACACCATGTTGAAGTTTACATCTGCGGGCAGTGCTGGGCACTCCTGCCCACCGCAGAAACACATGTCCACACACAGCCACACCAGTACTAAAGAGAAGAATCCTACTCCAAATTCCATCCCTTTGTCAGATTTCAATGGTGATTGGGAAAAAGGTCCAAATGTTAATGGATGGAGATTCAAATTGTCAAGAGACAATCCTGAGATTATAAACTCACTTTTGAGCAAGTGGTAAAATCTTAACTTGGAACCTGTATCTCCTTTCAATGGTGGTACTCTCCCAGCACAGAGCACAAGACAATAACCTGGCCCTTCAACAGGGGCATTGCCGGGCTTCTTGAATTGCTCCTTTCCACAAAGCAATTTCCTGTTTCAATCTCCCCAGAGCTGACTTTATCCTCCTTGGTGCCAGGTTACACTGCAACAAGAGAACCAGAGGTTAGCTGAGAAACAGAAATGGATCAGTTTTATCCTCAATATCTCTTAGTTTAGCAGAAGTCACTGGGAACATTCAGCTGGTCAGGCAGCATTAATGAAGAGAGGAAAGCGAGTTAACTGTTTCAAGTCGATGATCTATCGTTTTTGCCTTTTGTCTCTTAGTTTAGCATTTATCTTAATCTTTAATCTGCTGAAAATGAACCATGACTTCCTTACAGCTCAGACCTCATACTGCAGTGGAATAAGAAGGAAGGATCGAGCTAACTCCTTACAAAGTTCCCTTCGACATATCTGACAGTCACAGAACAATTTGTTTTCTGTGGAATTTTTTTGAGAAATCTTATTTCACAATTAAATTGATTATACGACATGCTCCAAAATTCGGTTCTTTTTATCCTCCACCACCACTTGAGAACAGAATTCAATTCCAAATTTACACGTTTTGGTCCCTTACTGGCCCCGATAAGCAAACTTGCTGTATATACATGTCATGAATAAACAAATAAAACAATTTAGTCACTCAATGTGCACAATTGGCTGCCGCGTTTCACCCACAAAATATGCAGTAAATTCACTGTACAGTATATTCTGTGAAGCACATTGAGACATCTCAACGACTTGATAAGGCACTGTATCCAATGCAAGTATTATTACTATTATTATTATTATGAGGCCCTATCTGCCGGTTCAGGTGGCTGTTAAAGATCCCATGGCACTATTTGATTACAGAAGGGTGTTTCTCCTGGTGTCCAGACAGGCAGTTGCCCAGATAAAACTGGTCATTCACTTTATGACAGTTTGTGGGATACTGCTGTGCAAAATTGGCTGCTTTGTTCACCTGTAAAATACAGTAACTACAGTTTACAGTAAATCTTTTGAAGTGCTTTGAGATGTTGACTACGCAATCAATAAATGCATGGATTATTATTATTGCTACTACTGAGATAGCATAGAGGTCCTCACATCCCCCTTCTCCCAGTCAACCTGGGGTGAAATAGTGCAGAAGCACAGGGTAGAATCATAAATATTTATATAACAGAAACAAGCCATTTGGCCCATTCAATCCACGACTGTTTGTGGGACATTCCGCAATTGGCTACCGCGTTTCACCCACAAAATACTGTCAATCCGCTTTATAATATAGTCTGTGAAGTACTTTGAGACTCTCGGGCCACCGAAACCCTCATCCTCACATTCATCACATCTAGGCTCGACTACCCAATTCTCTGCTTGTTGGCCTTCCCAACTCTTCTCTCCATAAGCTTCTGATCATCCGTAACTCTGCAGCTAGTGTCCTCCCCCGCACCAGGCTGGATGATTCAATCAGCCCCCACCCTCGCCCGGCTCCAATGGCTCCCCATCCCTCAGAGGATAGAGTTGAAAATCCTCGTCCTCGTCCTCAAACCCTCCATGGCCTTGCCCCTTCCTATCTTTGTGACCTGCTGACTCCATATCAACCTGTCTGCTCCCTCTGCTCAGCAGGCTGTGGCCTGCTCCAGGTCCCCCATCCGGCTCCCCCTACCATCGGCGGCCGGGCCTTCAACCTTTCTGCCCCCACCCTATTGAATTCCATCCCCTTGCCTCCTTTAAGATGCGTATCAAAACCCTCCTGTTCGACCAAGCCTTTGGCCACCCTCCTACCCTCACCCTTCCCAACCACCAGCTCAGGTCCAAATCCTTGACTGTCCAGCACCTTGGGATGTTACTGATGTGAAAGGCACTATACAAATGTAATTTTGTATTGTATGTCAATGATGTGATAAGGCGCTATATCAAATACAAGGATTATTATTATCAAGTACGCACTGGTGTACAATCTCCACTGCACATGAGCCACATAATCTAATCTCAATCCACTGCTCAATCGGACAACTTTAATTCCTTTGTTCAATTACTACACTTTACAGTGAATCCTGCAAAGCACTGAGATGTTTTCCTGGCATGAAAGGAGCTGTATCAAATGCAAGGTTTATTAGTATTATTTATTATAGCAATAGACTCCACCACCAACACAACAGAAAACTATATACAACCCTATCCTAACCCCTGCTTGTGCTTCAGGCGAAACATCAGCTCACTTCAATGCCCAAGAAACAGTGCAGTGCTCAATGGCAAAACTGGAGAAAGGTGCTGGCGTTGATGATTGCAATCACCCCTTGCTCTGTGACTCATCTGGTCTAAGGTTAGCGTGACTGTAAGTGTGCAATGACATAGTCAAACGTAATGAATTATTCGGGGGAGTCATTATATTTTTATACAATGAATCAATCAAATAAATCATCTGCTTTTATTACCGTTACTCACGTCATGTCCGTTGTTTGAACCTTTAACCCAACCAGATCCTGGTTCACGACTCCTCTCCCCCGTTAAAATGAGAAACCGAGTGGTAAACAGAAACTATTTAATTTATTCTTTCTCTCTCTCAATCCCCACACACCCATATTTAGACACTGAGTGAACCTAGACAAGGATATCAGTCTGACTCAGTTGACTCTCATCCGAGTTATAAAAGTCATAAGGTTGTGGGTTCAAGCTCTGAAAGCACTTCACAGTCCAGGTTCGCTCAGTGCTGCAGAAGGGCTGCATTTTAGAAGTGCCATTCTTCAGATCAGGCATTAAACCAAGGCCACTTCTGCCAGTTCAGATGAACATTAAAGATCCCATTGTAACGTTCTTTCAGTGTCCTGGCCAATAAAATTGGCCACTCACTTTGTGGCGGTTTGTGCACATTGCTGTGCAAAAATTGGCTTCTGCGTTTGCTTACAAAATACAGTCACTGCACTTTACAGGTATCCTGTGAAGCGCGTTGCGGCATCCAACTGATGCGAAAAGTACAGTGTCAAATGAGCTAAACTGACGAGGAAGTCGCGCTTGCAGCAAAATATTTGGGGGGAAATATTCCCTTCCCCACAAGGGAATTTCCAGAATTTCCAGAAAGCTCCAGAGAATGATCGAAAATACATAATTCGATAAAGTATTTAACACGGTAACAACCCTTCCAAGATCTCAGTATCTGTGGTCCAATATTCCACCTGGACATGGCAGAATTATGGAAACTTTTTCAATTCAGTTTTAATTTGGCAGCCAAGCCAATTTTCTGCAGTTCTTAAAAATAATAGTAATAATAATCCCTGCATTTGATACAGCACTTTTTCACGTCTTCTAGAATTCTCAAAGCGCTTCACAGAATATATTGTAAAGTGAATTGACTGTACATTTGTTGGTGAAACGCGGCAGCCAATTACGCACAGCAGTGTCCCCCAAACAGTCATGGATTGAAGTGACCAATGTATTATTGTGTTTTTTCTTGAGGGATTATTATCAGGCATATGGAGTAAGGAAACTTGCCCAAGGTTTCGCCCTGCCGGGAATTGAAACCAGGTCTCTTGCTTTCAAGGCGAGTGCTTTAACCACTGAGCTACAGGACTAAATCTAGGTTACTATGGAATAGCAGGTCTCGGAATCCCAGTTATAAATTTGTAAAAATAAAAACCATTAATTTTTACACATCCTTTTCAGATGAGTGTTCACAGTTACTACACTCTACAGCTTGTCCTGTGAAGTGCTTTGAGATATCCTCCCATCTTGAAAGGGGCTTGTATCAAATGTAAGCATTATTATTATTACAACATCTAAAGGCAGTCCAGTGAAAGCAGACATGACTTCACTTGTGAACTATTCACAAAAAAAATCATGCAAGGATTCTTTTTAAAACTTTTTTGCTCAATACATTGTTTTCGATACAAATTTTTCAAATCGTTTCAAATTACAATTTCGGATTGCTGGGAAACACAGTGTGGCAGTGGAACAGACTCTGTATTTTGTCTTATATATTGTTACAAATCCTGTCCTTTAAATGAGATGTTAAATCGAGGTCTAGTCCGCCTGTTGAGGCGGATTTTATTCAAAAAAAGGGAGTTTATCTCTCCCAGTGTCCTGACCATCAATACCCCAGATAAAATTGATTACTCATTCCATGGCTGTTTGTGGGTCATTGCTGTGTACAATTAGCTGCCGTGTTTCGCCCACAAGATACACAGTCAATTCACTTTACAGTGTACTCTGTGAAGCACTTTCAGATGTCTCAAAGCTGTGATAAGGTGCTATATGTCCTTACCTCAGTGGTTAGATCACTCAGCTCGCAAGTGAGAGACCTGGGTTCAATTCCCGGCAGGGCGAAATGTTGGGCAAGTTTCCTTACTCCACACGCCTCTGTTTACCCAGCAGTAAGTAGGAACCTGGTTGTTAGTTGATTGGCGGATCGCTTTTCCGGGGATAATAATTCCTCAAAAAAATCAATAATAATTTAGAAAATTGTCCTTTAACTGGATACTTCACTGATTTTGCAACCACTTGAGCACGTCACTGGCAACAGTTAACAAGTAAAAATACTTTTGTGCGAGTAGGCAGGAAAGGTTTGTTTCCAGAGTAAATGTGATAGCTTCCTGCTGTTGACCAGCAGCAAAACACAGAGTCAACAACCATTATTCTGTACCATTGCTTTTATGGGTTTGATTCATTCCACAGTACACTCTACTCTTCCTCCCCCAAACCACCATTGCCCCACATTTGTATTCTGTACCTTGTCAAGATTGCTAGCACTCTCTCCGCTGGGTAAGAAGGCTGTTTGCTCAAGCCTTGCTGTTGTACTGATACACTACTGGATGAGCGCGCTGCTTTATCAGAG